AACAAAGAAACAACAGAGCTCACACAAACAATAGAACAACTAGACTTAGTAGACATATATAGAACTTTTTATCCTAAGGCCACAGACTATACATTCTTCTCAGCGGTGCATGGCACCTTCTCCAGAATCGATCACATGATAGGACATAAAGCGAATCTAAACAACTTCCAAAACATTAGTATCATACCATGTACCCTCTCAGACCACCATGGGATGAAACTGGAAATCAACAACTCAAAACTCCCCAGGAAGTATAGGCACTCTTGGAAATTGAACAATATGCTATTAAACGAACAATGGGTCAGAGAAGAAATTAAAGATGAGATCAAAAAATTCATGGAAACCAATGAAAACTCTGATACAACATTCCAAAACTTGTGGGACACCGCCAAAGCAGTGCTAAGAGGTAGATTCATTGCAATCGGAGCGCATGTCAAGGCCCAAGAAAGACGCCAAATACAGGAACTAACCACACACCTCCAGGATCTGGAAAAACAGCAGCAGAAGAGTCCCACGCACAATAGGAAACAAGAAATCATCAAAACAAGGGAGGAGATAAGCCAAATAGAAATCAAAAAAAACTATACATAAAATCAACAAATCAAAAAGTTGGTTTTTTGAGAAAATAAACAAAATAGACACTCCACTGGCCCGATTGACCAAAAAAAAAAACAAGAGAAAGTGAGAATCAATAGCATTAAAGATGAAAAAGGCAACATAACAACAGACACTGCAATCATTAAGAAAATAATTAGAAATTACTACAAAGAACTGTACTCCCACAAATTTGAGGACCACCAAGAAATAGAAAAGTTCTTGGACTCCCACCACTTACCAAAACTCAGTCCGGAGGCAACTGCAGAATTAAATAAACCCATAACCGAGGTAGAGATTGAAACAGTCATCAAGGATCTCCCAACGAAAAAAAGCCCAGGCCCAGACGGCTTCACTACAGAATTCTACAAAACATTCCGAACAGAACTAACCCCAATCCTCTACAAGCTCTTCAAAACAATAGAGGAGGAAGCAACCCTCCCAAACTCATTCTATGAAGCCAACATCACCTTAATCCCAAAACCGGACAGAGAACCATCAGAGAAGGAAAACTACAGACCTATCTCTCTGATGAACATTGATGCTAAAATTCTCAACAAAATCCTAGCCAATAGAATTCAAAAAATCATCAGACAGATCATTCATCCGGATCAAGTAGGATTCATCCCTGGAATGCAGGGATGGTTCAACATTCGGAAATCCATAAATGTTATAAACCATATCCAAAAACTGCAAAACAAGAACCACATAATAGTTTCAATAGATGCAGAAAAAGCTTTCGACAAAATCCAACACCTCTTCATGCTAAAAACTCTAGCCAAAGTAGGCATAGATGGGAAAATCCACAACATAATTAAAGCAATTTATGAAAAACCCAACGCCAGTATCATACTGAATGGAGAAAAGCTAGAACCCTTCCCACTGAGATCTGGAACAAGACAAGGGTGCCCGCTATCACCACTGCTATTCAACATAGTCCTAGAGGTACTTGCAGAGGCCATAAGACAAGAAAAAGAAATCAAAGGCATACGTATAGGAAACGAAGAAGTCAAGCTTTCACTATATGCAGATGACATAATCCTATACATAGAAAAACCAGGAGACTCAATACAGAAACTGCTAGAACTTATACGAGAGTTTGGCAGAGTGGCAGGGTACAAAATTAACGAACGAAAATCAACAGCCATAGTGTATGCAAATAACACCAAGATGGAAGAAGATCTAACCAACAGGATACCATTCAAAATAGCAGAGAGAAGTATGAAGTATTTGGGAATAAATCTAACCAAAAGCGTAGGAGACCTATTCGAAGAAAACTACAAACTATTTAAAAAGGAAATTGAACAAGACCTCAAAAGATGGAATAACATCCCGTGCTCCTGGATAGGCAAAATCAATATCATTAAAATGTCTATACTACCACAAGCAATATACATTTTCAACGCAATTCCAATCAAATTGCCCAAAACATTCTTCACGGAACTGGATACAATGATTCAAAAGTTCATCTGGAAACACAAAAAACCACGAATAGCTAGAACCATCCTGAAAAATAAGAGGTTAGCAGGGGGAATCACAATCCCGGACCTCTGGACATACTATAGAGCAGTGGTTATCAAAACAGCCTGGTACTGGCACAAAGACAGAAAGGAAGATCAATGGAATAGAATAGAAGCACCAAAAGGGAACCCACACAAATACAGCCAATTAATCTTTGACAAAAAGACCAATGATAGCTCAAGCAAGTGGGAAGGCCTCTTTAGTAAATGTTGTTGGGACAACTGGCTGATAGCCTGTAGAATCTATCACCATACACTAAGATCCAATCTACATGGATAAAAGACCTAAACCTACATCCAGAAACCTTCAAACTCTTGCAAGAAAATGTAGGAAATACACTGCAAGACCTAGGAGTAGGTTCCGACTTTCTAAGAAGGACACCAAAAGCAATAGCAGTTGAGAACAGAATAAACAAATGGGACCTCATCAAACTAAGAAGCTTCTGTACAGCAAGGGAAACAATCAACAAAGTAAAAAAGCAACCCACAGAGTGGGAGAAGATCTTTGCACACGATATAGGCGATAGGGGGCTAATTTCCAGGATATACAAAGAACTTCAAAACAACCAAAAAACCAAAACAAACAAGCCACTCAAGAAATGGGCAAGGGAAATGGGCAAACATTTCACAAAGGAACAAGTCCAAATGGCAAACAAACATATGAAAAAATGTTCCAGCTCCCTAGCAATAAGGGAAATCCAAATTAAAACATCGATGAGGTACCACCTAACACCAGTAAGATTGGCCCACATAAACAAGAACACCAACGACGCTTGCTGGCGAGGATGCGGGGAAAAGGGAACCCTACTCCACTGCTGGTGGAGCTGCAAATTGGTACAGCCTTTATGGAAATCAGTCTGGAGAACACTCAAACAACTCGGAATCTGCATGCCATATGACCCAGCAATAGCACTCCTAGGAATATATCCAAAACACCTGATTTACGACAAACCAACATGCATCCCTATGTTCATTGCAGCACAATCAGTAATTGCAAAAACATGGAAGCAACCGAAATGCCCATCAATAGAAGATTGGATAAGAAAGCTTTGGTTCATCTACTCCATGGAATACTACTCAGCTATTAAAAAAAACAAAATGCAGTTCTTTGTGGCTAAATGGGCACAACTGGAAACTATAATGCTAAGGGAAATGAGCGAATCCCAAAAGATTAGATACCACATGTTTGCCTTGATTTAACCTGTAATTTATTGTTTGGTTGTTTGTTATTTTTTGAACGTGTCATTGATGCTGTCTCAACCCAGATGTTTCGAAGAATGGAACTTGCATTATTTTTAACATATTGTTTACCCAATACTATGTCAATTAATTCCATAATGTTGTATATTGATACTGAGGCCTTGTTGGGGCTTTTAACCGACCGGATCTTTACTCTGTTAGACCTATCTTCAGACCATAGAAGGTCTCCCCAGGAGGCCACTGAACTTATCTGGACAATAAGACGCTGAACTTTATGCTAGGCATGTGTTTGCAAGCAATGAATCTCAACTGAACTTGAACTATGGTTATGCAGCAAGGTGGAGGAATCCACCATGGGGGGAGGGATATGGGGAGGGGTGGGGGGAATCCCCAGCGCCTATAAAACTGTACTACATAATACAGTGTAAGCAACAATAAAAAAAAAAAAAAACACTTGAGTGAGAATCTCAGAGTGTGCCTCACATCAAGGACCTGGGGTGGAGGGGGTAACAGGGTGAGGATTCTCCCATAATATTTCCCATTACCTCAGATACATGAAGGAAACAATGTGCAAATCATAGTCTTACGCACGTTCCAATAGCCGTTGAACCTTTTTACCCTAATTAACTATATAAGTTGTGAAAAATATAAAGAAAAATGAAAAAAAAAATGTAAAATGTATGTTCTAGAATATTTTTGTGCACAAAGTATTTATAAGCTACAATAACTAAAAACGTAGATCAAAGTTTCCCAGGAGTCAAAGAAATAAAAAAATGTGTCAGTATTAGGTCACACTGTTTCAAGTCACTACCATGATAATATTAAAGCATATAATGACTAGATTGAGATCTGGCTTCCCCTTAACTTATCCCCTGGTCTTTTAATGTACCCAGGATATGAGTACAAAACAGTTAAACTGCTGAAATAAATGAGTTCCTGGTTTTAGCCAGAGATAGACTTCACAGATTCAGATTAAAAAAAAATAGTGTAAACAGTACATATATGATATAATATAATATGATATAATATAACATAACAAAGCACAATATCTTTACATATATGAAATCATAAATACAAACGGGATAAGAAACAGAGAGGAAATCTGTTTGTCTTTTGATTCACTCCCAAGTGACCACAATAGGCCAAGATGTTTCAATCTAAAACTTACCGTCAGGAACTTCTTCCTGGTCCCCATTGTGGCTATAGCACTGCAAGGATTGAGGTTGTCCTCAACTGCTTCTCCAGGCCACAAGCAGGAAGCTGGAAGGCAAGTGGATCAGTCAGGACATGAAGTGATGCTCATATTTGGTCTCAGCATGTCCAAGGTGAGGACTTTAGCCACTAGGCTGCCGTGCTATGCCCTCCTGCAGCCTTTGTGGTTAAAACAGTAACTGGTAATCTCTCCTGGTCTCTCTCTCTCCTCCTCTCTCTCTCTCTTTCTCTCTCTCTCCCTATGCTTGAGTCTCACTATAACTCTTCCCTTCTTTGAGAAGTAAATCTTTGTTTTTTCTAAATTGAAATCACATTTGAATTGGGGTTTTCCAGCTGTTACTTTCCATTTGACTCCTTAGAGTTGAATGACAAATATTCCCCAGGTGACTCCTTTACTTATTTTAAAAGCAACATTGCTACTTACCTCTCACTGTTGTGAGTTCTTCCTTTTTCTTCCCTTCTTTTTCTTTCCACTGCTTCCTTTGATACCCAGCTTCTGGCCATACTCATCCCCATGCCATATTAGAAGTTCACAGCCTGGTTTGATGACTTGGCAGGTGCGGTATAATATCTGTCTGTGGTATTGGAAGGCCACCAAATTCTGCTCCTCATCATTCTGGGCATAGTTCACATACCTGGGGCAGAGATAAATGCTGAGTTCCCATGCACTGTTACACTTGAATCTCATCTGTTCTCTGATATCCTCTATCTTGCTTGTAGCCCAATTCTGTAAAAGCTCTCTTGCAAACATGTATCTCTCTGTGAGATCAATGAAGTCCCACATCCAATGTGCAGATACCGTATTTGTTCTGACAAGCATGCTTTGCTACTTCATTTCTTCACTAGTCATCCTCAAAACCCTAGTCGACCTTTCTCCTTGACCAGCCATGAAGCACACAGAGTTTCCCTAAACCCCAAATTTCATTCAGTTTTATGCCACATAATGGTTAATGTACACTGGCTAACTCTAGCCTACCACACATGCTGCACAACTCAGATTTTCCATAGACAATTCTTTGAAGTCCTTTCTCTTGGATCTTTCTCTCGAATCCTGGGAGTTATTTTAGCCTCTCCCTGAACTGCTCACAGAAACAATTATCCAGATGCAGCTTCCTTCTCTCATCCACATCTCCAGTTTTGTTTTGTTTTGTTTAGTTGGTAAAGATTATTATGATTATTTTCTATTTGAGTGGCATAGACACAAAGAAGAGAAGGGGCAGAAGACAGAGATACCAAGAAAAAGCATGGAGTGGAGAGATAAAAAGGACACACTGTCAGGCAGTAGCTTCAACCAGGTCTTCTAAGTTGGCGCCAAAGACAAAGCATGAGGACATCCTCTGAAGGTCCTCAGGGTGCATGGGGAAGCAACTGGTTTGGCAGTAGGGTAACCAGTAATTGTAATGTAGGTACACCAGTCCTTACATTAGCCCACTGCATGACAATGCTTGTCCCAGAACCTGGCTCTCTTCTCTCTTTCTTTTTTTCCACTGTGCCTGGTATGGTTTATGTCTCATAAATTAAAGGCCTTCTGTATCAAGTTGTTTGGACAGTGTATAATTTTCAAAAGACTAAAAACCTTTGCGGTCAGGACACCAATTTAATGCAATGTCCATGTATTATGATATTTTTGATGCAGGAAAGGCATAACCAATGATAATTATAGAGAGAATGAGTCAATGCCCCAGTTGATCTAGATTCATCAAGGCCCATTTTCATGTGCTTTTATTCAACATATTATTTTATGTTATGATAAAAAACAGTATTTATAGAGAATGTGCTTTTACAAACCGGTCATGGTATTCAAAGTTCATTCAAATAGACATCAAAGAGGACATATCATGTAAAAGTCATTGAGGAAAGTAGAGGAGAAAGGACAGTGATCTTGTCTTAGAGATAAATGTCATCTCCACATGTAAAAAGCATGGCACTTACCTCATCCAGTTGACCAAAGAAGTGTCCTTTCCATCCATGTACTCATAGCTTTTTCTCCTCTTGGCTATTTCAGATTCAGAAAAATCAGTTAATATGTTTCTGGAAAGGGAATAGTTCAGCAGAATTATTAACTCAACCACCATCATGTTCCATGACATTCCATGAGTCCAACCACATCTTGAGACATAACACAGTGTTAGTATAAACCTAATCTGATTTGTTTCCTTACAGTAGAAGCCCACAACTGAGATCGAACTGCTTTGCTTTTACAGCCCAGTGATCTCATCAATGCTAATCTTCAGTAAGGATTCTGTGATGTAATCATGTTGGCTCCATTCATGCCATAATGAGTAGAAGGCATGAACCAGACACATGAGCCAAACTCACAGCAGGCAGGTGGAAAGCCACCAGACTGCAAAGGTACTTCTTACCTGCCAGCTGTACCCACTATTGGATTCCTGTTCCACTTCTATGATCTGGCCCTCAAAAGGACCAAAGTGTAACCCCTGTGGCAGATCAGATGCTTCATTAAACACTCCAAGCCCAGCCACAGGAATGCTGGATGGACCAATTTGAAGCCCAGTGGGCACACTGAGGAAAGCCGGGCTAAGATGTCCCTTATCCACTGGGTTGTCCTTTAGAAACACTGGGGGTCTCTGAGCAGCACAGCTTTTCAGGAAGAACCTCTGACACTTCTCACAATCTGGAGATGAGTGTGGAAGGGATTAGGAAACAATATCAAACACTACTGGATAGAGAGAGCATCAGAAGCAGCCAACTACACACATCACTCAGGCTCGATCTTGCAACCAAAGTTACCAGACGACAGAATGATAGAAGACGAAATTACAAGTGGAATTTGATTTCAGGCTATAGGATTTCTCTTTGTGGATGTGCTAAAGGGTTACTTACACAGGTAATCATCATCCTCTGTGGTGCTCGGGGTAAAGATGTCACTAAGTCAATACGAATGCGACTAACACTCCAGGGTCTAGTGGGCAAGATGGTGGGCCAAGAGAGAACCCTGGGTATGAATCAGGACAGGAGTCAAGTAGCTTCAAGGAAATGCTCATCAACCATGGCCATCTCACCCACACACCATTTGATTATGGGAGGTGGCTTCTACAGACATTCTCCTAGTAATTGATTCCTAGTTTCTCTCCTCCTGGACTTCCCCAAATTCCAGGCCTAATGTTATCCCTTACCCTATATAGGGAATTGAATTTCCCCTATAAATCGGCACTGCTTAGACAGTAGCCCTGTCCTTTCCTTTGCCTTTCACAGGCCAGGTGACTGGATGGTGGGCAGCAGGCTAATCCCCTCCAGCAACAAGGTAGTAAAGCAATATGTGGGGGAGACCCTGCAGAACATGCACCCAACATTGATCATGAAGGCTGGATCTTCTCACCCCCTCACTGTGTGGCTTTGAAAGAGAAGCAAGGAATGGCTGTAAATTGCTTCAGAGCATTGTCTTACCAGAGAAGCACATTGTCAGGGAAGTGGTGGAACTTTAGCTGAGTCTCAAAGAAAAGAAGGCTACCTAAGGTACAGTATTCCTCCTCTCAAACAGGAGTGTATCCTGTAGAAGTGACCCTAGGCACCCCACAGCTCTGTACAATCATGGGCAGCACCCAACCGTGGTATAGCTACGGTCAAATCCCCTGAGAGGTTGTAAGGGAAGGGAGGTGTTAGGTGCCCAATTGGCTTCTTTCCTATTCTCTCTTCTTTTGCAGTGAGAGATGGCCATGGATGCCTGAATCTAGGGTGAACCTGTTTGAGAACTGACAGTTTCTGGCCAAGGCAACACTTTGGCATTACCTGAAACTCTGCTGGGGATCCCCTGGGCCGGACAATCCGACTGGGTATCCTAGTTCCTCTATTATCTCTGATTTTCTGCTTTAGGGACAGCTGTGGATGCTTGGCTCTGGGGTGATCCTGTCTGAGGACTAACCATTTCTGGCTGAGGCAAAGGTTCGGTGTCACCTGGAACTCTGTATTGGATTGCCTGGGCCCAACAGCCTGACTGGATATTCTGAGCACTCTCCTCCCTGCTCTCTTTCTTTAGCCATGGGCAATAAATGTGGGGGATTGATGATCCCACACTTAGGGTGCTAAAATACATGCTAAAGTCCTGAGGGTTTTAAATCTCAGATGGTTAGGCAGTCAAGGCCTGAGGGACAGTGGTCACATTGGCACTGTGGGTAACATTGGTTAATTTATTTGTACGTGATACTTGGGAATGGAAAAAGAGCAAAACTGTCGCCCAAAACACTGGTCCTGGCCCACCTCAGCCACCCCAGCAAGAGCTTCTGGGAAGTTTAGAGGGCAGAAAACCACCCCCAAGGTCAAGGGGAGTCCAGAGCACAGAGCTCCAGGTGCAAGCCTTCTGGTGGGGCTCCAACAGCCAGTTCAGGATTTTCCATTGGTGTTAACCCTGAAGGGAAATGCCCAGTGGCAGTGTGATATCCCTGGAATGCAGGGGACCTGAGAAAGCTGTGGCAGAAATGAGCCTCACTCACGCTGGGCGGAGACTAGTCTTTAGGGTCTTTCTCAACAACCCTGCATCCCGGCAGTTTGAATAATATTTTGGGAGCCCCTACAACTCAGGAATTGCAAGTAGTCTGGGAAAAGGTTAAAGAGCTTTTAGACAGAGCTAACATGAATGTCTCCTCAGAGAAGGTGCAAATAACCCCCCTCTTTCTACAATTTTAGGGACAGGATTATGTTTTGAAAAGGCCTCCCCCTTGAAATCCCAGCTAAGCGTTAAGGAACAATATTCACCAGTAGAATTTCAAAAGCTTCTTGGAGAGGTCATTGGCTATGCCCTTGACTACCCATGTCTACAGGGCAATTACTGCCATTATTTGAAAAGGCATAATGCTAGGAGACGAGTTTCCCTCATGTACAAGCCTTACAGGAGACTCAAAAGGCCCTAGGCAAGGCTACTTGTTCATTATTGCCCTAAGAAAGAGTTACAACTGTGGACATTTTCAAATTCTCCCGTGCTTGTAGCTACCCTTGTCCGGGAGGATAGTCCCTTCCAGTGGGTACATTTATGCATTTGAGGGGCGCCCGGGGTTTATATTTGTCTTGATCAACTGGCAGATCTAATTCAGGAGGTGAAAGAGCTAGCCCTTAGGTGTTAAGACTTTGACACAGCAAAGCCTGTTGCCCCTGATTGAATGAGTTATTATGAATGAGTTTGAAGAAACAGTAACAGGCTGGCAAGCCTCCCTTGTAGATTATCTCGGCACGATTGACTGCCATTATGGGCCATAGAAGTGAGTCACCTTCTTCAATCTCTTGGAATGGGAGAATCCTGCCTTGTACCATCAAATCATGAAGATGGAGGAAGAGAAGGGGCTACAGCAGAGGTTTTTCTATCTGATCATGTCTATAAGACCTATTTTGACCTACCCATGTCAAGGATCAACAGAGTGTTAGGAACTATTTGCTGCAATTTTAGCAAAACTTCTCTCAAAAGTGAAAGATTTTTTTTAATCTATTCTCTGATAGCCTTTATGTTGTACATTTGCTCCCAGAATTAGCGCAGGCATATATAAGATTGAATAATAATCCTATCATCCCTCATGATCCAGGCCCAAACTTTGCTGCAAGAACAGACCCGTCCTCCTCTCTCTGAAGGTCTCCATTTGCTCTCCTCATGGGATAGTACACAGAGATGTCCTCTCCATTTTAACCATTTTAACCTTTATTCTAACCTGCTTTTCCAGTTTTTCTTGACTTAACAACACTGTCACCCTAGGTATCTAAATTTCTCTAACTTTACCTCATAGCCCTCACCCCAAGCTGAGAGTGGCAGACTAAGAAATAAGCGATTTAACATCCATAAGAAGTCGAAAAAAAAAAGAAAAAAAGAAAAGGAAACATATTCTGCAACTTGATTTAAGAGTTATATATATATATATATATATATATATCGCATATATATATATGCGATGTGATATAGACTGGTCCCAATCCACTGTTAATTTAACTCAAAGCATGAGATGAACCTATGACTTGCTTTATAAAACATTTCCAGGTTAAAATATGTCAAAGAAGAATTTGGAAGGTGCAAAATGTTTGAGAGTTAAATGTCTCTCTGTTCTGATGTGTTGGGATTGTGCATATGTTTATTTATTCGTTATTGTTGGTGTTCTACTTTAGTCTGGAGAAAAACTAGACTTTGTTTTAATACTCTTTCTCCAGTTATATATTTGTCATGGATTGTTAAGTTATTGTTCTTGTTGAGAATTGGGTGCGTGTATGCCTGACTGACAGACGAGATGGGATAGATCATGATTAACCTTTTTTTCTGTCTCCTGATAAAAAATTTTAATGAGGTCTAACCTATGTAACACGACTTGGCCAGACCAGACTCACCTTCTCCTCTGAGGAAAAGTTCATATACTGTTTCCTTGCTGCTTAGTCTTCAATTTACAGTGTTGTCCTGGCACTGATCAGGTCTAAAATACAGTATCCGTTAACATGTTCAGTTAAATGTCAAATGTACTTTTTCTTTAACTAATTTACACTTCTAAATTCTTCAGAGTTTGAAACCAGGTGTCAAGACTTTGAAAGTTGTAGGATCCCTAGAACTCTCAAAGATTGAGACAGAATTTGGATAATATAATTGTCATTTAAAATAATTTGGATTATAATCTCACAATATTATAAAATTATGTTAAAATTTTTGCATCCTATAAGCTATTAAAGTAAATAAGCTTTTATGTTCATTGGTCAAAATGTTTCCTAATCATGAAATTGGCCCTGATTGTAAATTATTTGTGTTCTTATTTACAAAGAGTATGTGAGATTTTGCCTTACAGGAAAACAACTAATTCTTTTGAAATGTATAGTGTAATTTGTTGTCACATGTATAATTTCTGAATTTTGCCTTTAAGAAAATGGAATTGAAATCTGATTCATATTGAAGAACAACAGTATTTTAACATCACCTTTACACTAATTTTCATCTTATTGATAACTAATAAATTCATAGTTACTCTCTTAAGACAACAGCCAAATTGAAGTTTTTCGCCTCTCTTGACTTCAAATAAACAGAAGCTAAGGAGAAGCTGCAGGCCTACCAGCCATGGAAAAGGCAGGAACATGCTAGGAGTCTGCCCTTTGTAAGGAATTTAGAACGCTGGATTCCTTCAGGTTCCCATTGTGATTCTTATCTGCCTTCTTTTGAGGAGGGAGGATTCCCAAATCAGCTAGAATAAGGTTATTTGAAAAACTTCTCTTTCCCAGTTTTAAGGCAGGTTGTGTTAAAATGTGTTTCCACAAATTGAAAGAAATGCTTAAAAATTGCTTAAAGCAATTGCATTTAAATTTGGTATGCTTTTATTTAGAGAATGTTTCCATTTGGAGCCTTATATGATTGTTTCAAAATGTAAATCAAGAAAATTAGCAGATTTTTAAGGAATAGCTTGTAGAACATTTTGTCCTACAGAAGTATGGCTATCATGCAATGGAAAGAAAAAACTGGGATAAAATACTTAAAGGCTTCATATTGTTGAAAAATGTGCCTTGTAAGTTTTACTTATATAACTGTCTATACTTTTTAAGATACAACTGCAACTGTTTGAATATTTGACATTAATATCTAATTGTATGCTGACATTAGAATTGAGTGTGCATACATAGAAATGCTAGTAAATATCTGAAAAATGTCAGAGGAGGGTTCTGGTGTGATGGCTTAGCAGTTAGAGTCTGGTGCAGTAGCCTGGTGACTGAAGTCCTCACTCTTTATTTAAAAGACAAAGAAATACATATAGAGATCTACACATCGGTTGAGGCAGACAACACGGATGGCAGAAGGAGATGTGGAAGTTCACTCTTTAAGTGACCTTGATAGCAAGCAATCTATTCTCAGATCAGAAAGCTTTATCCAGTTCTCCCAGGAGGGTTGTAAGACCTGAATCACTTGTCTCATCAACAAGCAACC